AAGGCGGCTCAGGCTGCTCTTCGCCTCCTGTTTGATTCTTCTTTCAAGTCGTTTTCCATGTTCAACGAACGTTTGAGATACTCGCAAGACGACGTCTTAGCGATTGGAGAGCTTTCTCATTCCATTTTCTGATCCTTGCAAAAAGCTTCCTTCATGAATTACTTCTTCGGTTAACGCAATCTTATCTGCATCCCTACTTCGTTTAGCCTTTCGACATCGTCTCCGCTTCAGTGATATTCCTCGGGAGAACAATGTCGTCCGCAAAGCGAAGCTTTGACGGGAATCTCCTGTCAACTTGTATACCTCTCTCGTTTCAATCCAGTGATTTCATCAGCCTCTGCAACACGGCGGTAAAGAGTTGGCGAGATTGGTATGTTTAGGGGACGATGGAAAAGCTGGACCGTTGTACAGCAGTCGGCCAATGTCCTTACGTAAGATGAGTCCACTCCTTGGTCGACGAGCGCTGACAGTATGGCAGTCTTAGTCTAGACGCGGTCAACGCTTTCTCATAGTCAAAAGATTAGGACGAGAGGTAGGCGGCACTCTCGGCAAACCTCGATAGTCCTCGAAACTGTCTGGATGTGGTCCATCCAGCTAATTCCCTGGCGAAATCCAGCTTGTTCTATAGGTTGGGTTTCATCTAGTGTCCTTCATATGCGAGCGAGAATAATCTTCGTAAGCTTGTAAAGCACACTCAGCAAGCATATTGGACGATATTTCAGAAGATTGTCCCTATCGCTCTTCTTATGAAGAAGATTGTTCGGATGTTCTCCACTGATCGGGGATCCTCTCCTTTTGAACGTAGGACGTTAGATGTTCCGCAAGTATTTCGTGTAGGCGAGGTCCTCCAGCTCGTAAGAGGTTGATCGAAACATGGTTCGGTCCCGTAGCCGTGGCTGCCTTCATGGTCTGGATTGCGGCGCGTACTTCAAAGGGTAGAATCCTTGATGGTATTTCTGGGAATAACGGGGTTTGACAGGGGTGTTGACGATCGAAAGAGATTAGTCCATCTTTTGTCAGGAAGATGTGCAAGTCCCGTCGTCGTTTATTAAAGTTGCCAGCGGAACACGTCGAGAAGGTCCCTGCGGCACTTCTACTCCTCCGTCCTTGTGCTGCTTCCATTTTCGATTGCCTGTACTTTCGAAGTCTTCTTGCAAAGCTGTTCTGCAAATGGTATTGGCTACTAGTCGCTCGAGATGAGTGTCGGATCCAGCCTCAGTGCTCTTCTCCTCTTTAGTAGAACCTTGGTGGCTTTCGAAGTTCGTTCCAAATTCCTTGTTGAGGCATTAAGGCACTTTCACTACAGGCTCTCTGTCCTCTAAAAGCGTCGTAGTCCTTCGTTAAGTCTTCCCCGATGGGAAAGTCGTAAATGGTCAAGATCTTCTCCAATCTGACGCCGTCATATACGACTTCTCTCTTCTTCTAACACGGTGACAAATCTCCTTCTCCAACTTTCGGCTGATTCGCAATTTTGCTAGGAGGAGGCGGTGATCTGAACCCTGAAGGATGGTACCACTGAGATGTCCAGTAAGCACCATCTTCGGTTGGTAAGAATGTGGTCGATCTCCGTATGAGTAGTACCGCTGCGTGACTCCCATGTCCACCGCCGGTGTTCTTTCACGAAGGTGGAGCTGCCATGAAAAAGTCGTGCGGCGGATAAGAGCCTAACAAAACGATTACCATTCTTATTCCGGAGTCCTGATCCAAATCTCCCGATCGCTCCTCTTCTTCTGGTATCCCAACTTTCGCATTCGAGTCACCCACGACGAACTTATAGAAGGAGTTTTCTTTGCGGATGACTACCTCCAAATCCTCATAAAAAGCATCAAGTTCCAATTGTCAGCTGCTGATGTTGGAGAATAGCAGTTGATGATAGTGATGGCTTTTTGATGCAGAGGACGGAGTCGAA